CCAAATAGTAATTTCAAATTAAATTCATTAAACTCAGTAAAAAGTTTTATAGGCTTGCAAGAACCTCAAAATTAGCTTGTACAGTAAGACACATGATATACTTTCACATACTTTAACAAACCAATCCGCCTTAGCACTGTAAAACAAAAGGGTTATCTTTTTAGCTATTTTTGTTTTCTTGATATAGACCGTAGATATCACCAAAAAAGGTAAGAACAATGAGAACAAAAGTTTCTTACATATGCTCACCCGATTGTTTCAGTGGAATATCCTTCAGATTAAAAAAACATACATAAACATAATATTTGTTTCCCTTTTCAGAAAGGAAACAATCAAACAACAGTAGTTAAACATATACTGATATATCTTCAAAATACATGCTATAATTACAAAGAATTGAAATGAAAAGTAACAAAAATAAGAGAATAGTTAACCTCTAGTTCTTTCATGAAGGGTTTAGCAACACGAAGAGGGGTCTTCCTAAGACCTCTATTGATTTCTTCACCCAAACCATGCAACAAACCTTCAACATCTTCAATGGCTAAAGTCTTTAGTTGTTGCTCAAACGTACAAACAACCACCAAGCATCGCTCCAACTTCTAGTGTCACATTGTCGTTACCATTATCCAAGGCTCCCACTATGATAAATGTTAACAAAAAATGAAAACCTCTCAGAAACCAAAATCAGGTCCAATCCAAGATCTAAATGTATAATCAAAACCCTTTAGGTAAAAACATCTAAAAATCAAAATCACCAGTTCATAAATCAGAAGAATAGATCAAAAACAATAAACCAGCCAAGTAGAAGCACTTTTTGGAACACCAACATTCTTCATGGTATCTCTAGAAGTTGTTTGGTTCCCTAAGACACAAATACTGCAAGGCTGCAAAAAGGTACTGAACAATCAAGGCATACTGCATGATCAAGAATTTCAATAATGTGACAGTAAAAATTACTTATATTTGGTCGGATGAAGTTAATGCCATTCCCCTCATTCAAGCAATAGTATACATGCAGCAATCAAAGCACTTGTCTTTTGTGAAATTTACCCTTGTTAGATCCCCGTGTTGTATGCCTGCACCCAAAATTACCGGAGATATACACCTTCCTAGTTCCTAGCATTTAAAGCTTACAAGGAACCCTAATTTTCAGATAGAAATTGGTTGGATTAACGAAGATGGTGAAGATACCAGTGAGGCCTTAAGTAATCAAAGCCCTAATTTCATAAAGGAAGAAAGGATGAAGAAGGTGTCGATGATACGGACCCAATGGAAACAAAATTAATAACACAAAAAGATCAATCACGTTACCTGTGAGTAAAAGAGGGAAAGAGCAATTGAACCGGATTGATCTTGAATGGAGAGAATATGGTATAATATATACACCCCCTTTTGTCTTGAAGAAGTTCATTCGACGTTGTGTCGATTGGAAGCATCGTGTTTTCCCGGAAGAGGTGCTACAAAAACACATGCCGGCGGTTGGAGAGTTGGGAACAGACATAAAGAAAGGTGACCAACTGGAAGACCGAAGAGGCAAAACAGGGAAACGGTGGTCGGAAACAGGTGTCTATGAGCAACGCGGAGGAGGAGATTAAACGGTGGAAGATCATGTCAGGAGACGCATCGCTTAAAAGGCAAATTACGTGGCGACCATTGAACCGTGTAAATTTGATTTTTGAGACAGGAGAGCCATAGGGCTTTTATATATATATATATATATATATATATATATATATATATATATATATATATATATATAGGGACGGGTTCAATAGAGAACCAATATGGGTGGAGGAACCAAGGAACCTATTAAGATGGTTGGATCAAAATATTAACAGCCATTGGATTTGAGATGTAAAAGTATGAAAAACAATAATGTGCAGCTGATTATAACCAAACACGTAACTTAAGGGGGCATTGTCGTCAAACTAAAACTTTTTAACTCTCACTGTTAATTAACGTCGTTAGTTCATCAGTTTCAATTCAGTGAAATCGATTTTACCCTCTCATTGAAAGCGATCTTTTACTCCACCGACGACATCGATTTCAAACGAATCTCCGGCGACGATTCGGTCAATATCCACAGTGAATCTTCCCGAAAAGTTCGTCAAAATGAATCTAGAAGGTATATTTGACTGCTATTCACTTTCGATTATCTCATTTAATCCATTTTCAACATTATATTTTTTCGATTGATAAATTTCAAAACGACAAATCTAAACTATCTGTTACATTATGTATTCGATGAATCTGTTAATACACTATTTTATTAACAAAATCGTTTTAGACTGATTTGAAACCCTCGTCGGATGATGAACTTTTAATAATTTGTATACATAACGAAAACCTAATGAATATCTATATTACAAACTGAAATTTCCTAAAACTTTGTGAATCTAACTCGAATCTGAGTTTATTAAGTAAATCGAAACCCTAATTTCATGAACTTTTGAGAATTCGTATAATTACCAAAAACCTAATGATATAAATTTCTTCATATCGATACAGAAATCATGAATATCTAAATTACAAACCGTAATTTCCTAAAAACTTTGTGAATCTAAGTGGTTTCTGAATTTATTCATTAAACTGAAAAACTAATTTCACATTTTGAATTCACAGTGTGCTTTGTGATTTACATTTGATTATTTTGAAAGGATTCAATGTTTCTGAGTATTATATTATTTGACAATTCACAAAGTGAATCATGATTATATATCAATTTAACATATCATTTATTCAAATTGTGAATTCACAGGGTGATTTATCATTTACATTTGATTTTTTCATCTTGTGAAATTCACATTGTGTATCTATGTTTAATTCATATTGTATCTCTTATTGTGCTTCTCATTGTAAATTTATAAAGAGTTGCATTGGTAATGTTTTGATTCAAACTGAATTCACAATGTGAATAAATCATAACTTTCATACCATGAAATTGATGTTTGAATTAATTTGTTAATCAAAAACAGGAAATGAAGAAAAGATCAATGAAAAAAAGGATAATAAGAAAAGAATGAAATTGACAAGAAGTCTAAAAGATGTTATACCTTCAACTACAAGTGAAAAAATTGAAGATATTCAAGATAAAAAAAAAGGTTAGAACATTTGCATTCAGAATAAAATAACTAATTATCTAATCATATACTACACACTTATTAAAAAAACTAATTCACAATGTGAATCTTGGATGTGTATCTCACATTCAAACAGATTCACAATGTGAATCTCTTAAAAACATTTTTTTTGCAAGTTGATCAACACTTTTGTTTGTATTTGACTATGCACAATGTAATTGTAAAAATTCACCATGTGTATGTGTACATCACTTGGTGAACCTCAAACTCTTTTGCTATTAAATGCATAAATTCACAATGTGAATCTTGGATGTGTATCTCACATTCAAACAGATTCACAATGTGAATCTCTTAAAAACATATTTTTTTTAAAGTTGATCAACACTTTTGTTTGTATTTGACTATGCACAATGTAATTGTAAAAATTCACCATGTGTATATGTACATCATTTGGTGAAACTCAAACACTTTTGCTGTTAAATGCATAAATTCACAATGTGAATCTTGGATGTGTATGTCACATTCAAACAGATTCACAATGTGAATCTCTTAAAAACATATTTTTTTTCACAATGTGTATGTGTATATCGCTTGGTGAACCTCAAACTCTTTTGCTATTAAATGCATAAATTCACAATGTGAATCTTGGATGTGTATCTCACATTCAAACAGATTCACAATGTGAATCTCTTAAAAACATATTTTTTTTTGCAAGTTGATCAACATTTTTGTTTGTATTTCACTATGCTCAATGTAATTGTAAAAATTCACCATGTGTATGTGTACATCATTTGGTGAACCTCAAACTCTTTTGCTGTTAAATGCATAAATTCACAATGTGAATCTTGAATATAGCTCATAGCCTAACAGATTCACAATGTGAATTTCTAAAAAGTTTTTGCAATTTGATCATCACATGTTCAATTTTATATTGTTTGACATGTATTAATACTACTTATATTTTTGACATTCATATTAAAAATTTCACATTATGTAGTTGAAGGTTCAAAAAAATATACCAAAAACACAGCAAGGAGAACCGTGGTGGAAATAGTTAATAAGTTAAGAAAAAATGAAGATGAAAAGACTATTGAAGAAAATGTTGAAAAAGAAAAAAGTTTAGAAGCTGATGAGATTCAAAAAAAGCAAACAAAAAAAATGATGAAGCAAGATGAATCTGTTTTGAAGACACTTGAAAAGAAAACAACTCAATGTTAGTATTTATAAAATTATAATTTACTTTAATATATAAAATCAATTATCTTTAATTTTATTTTTTTTTAAATGAACAGAAATCAGACAGAGTCCAAGATTACATAAAACAAAAACGAAAAAGTCGATGAAGCAAGAAAAATATGTTTTCAAGACACCTGAAAAGAAAACAACTCAAGGTTAGTATTTATAAAATTATAATTGAATTTGGTATTATAAAATTAATTCTTTATAAATTTGTTAAAACATGAACCGAAATCAGACAGAGTCCAAGACTTAAAATGATTGAATACAAAAAATCTGTGACTCCTATTAAAGTTGAAGATAGCCTTGTAAAGAAACAATCTGATGAAAAAATAACAAGTTTGTTTATTACTATTCACATGTTTAATTTACAAAGTTATAAACAAATTCACATGTTTATTTTATGTATCATATTATATTTTGCAAAACAAATTCACATGTGAATTTCTTGTATTGTTAGTTATTTTATATTATATATGTTATATTATGAGAAGCTTATGAAAATTATCGACTAACAGGAAAAAGAAAAAGAAAAACAAAGACTCTGGAAGTAGTCAAAGAAAAAAAGGCAAAAGTGCCAATAAATCCAAATGACAGAGTATCTTTGAGAACAAGAATGAGCCAAAGAAGTTTTATGATATTGTTAAATCTATAAACAAAGAACAGAGAAAAGCTGTCAGAGAAATGGGATTGGGATCTTTGCTGAGAATTGCAACCAATGGAATTTCTGGGAAATTGGCACGTTTTGTTGTGAATTCATTCAATCCATCAGATATGAAAATCCATCTACCTAATGCAAAGATAGACATAACACCAGAACTTGTTCATGATTTGCTTGGAATTCCTCTAGGTGGAAAAGATATATATAACACTGATCAATGTGAAGGAAAAGAATTAATGGACTGGAAGCAACAATACAATTTCAAGGCTATGAGACCATCGGATGTTGAAGAGAAAATTAAAGAATCATCAGATTCAGGGATTATTTTCAGAACAAACTTTGTATTACTGTTTGTTAATACCATTTGTGAACAGAATAAGCCTGGAACTTGTAAGACAACAGTATTGCCACATTTGTTAGGCAAAACACCTATGAGAGAAATTGACTGGTGTGGTTTTATAACCAATTGCTTGAAAATGTCAAAGACGACATGGGATGAAACCGATAGAGGAAACTACTATTGTGGGCCACTTCTTGTATTATTGGTAAAGAAAATTCTTATAATTAACACGTTTATTTATATTATTATAAGAAAACTAATTAATCATAATTTTGTTTACATAAACAGCTAGCTTATTTGGAGTTTATGAGAAATGATAAGAATGAAAAAAGACAAATACATGCACTACATTTTTGGGATTATGAAATGATGGTGAAAAGGGAAAAAGCTGAGTTAAAGAGTGGTGACTTTGGAACTTCGGAATGGAATGATGATGTTATAGAGAATGATGAAGAATCTGACACCGATGAAAATGAAGATATGAAACTCGATGTAAGTTAATAATCTATATAATTAAAAAAAATTGAAGTTAAATTACAGATATATGTTATAAAATTGTAGTTAAAATGAAATTCATAAAGTGATTCACACTGTGAATATAAAAGTGTATTTTATTAGGGCTGTCAAAAATGTACCACGGAAAACCAACCAACATGTTACCAACCGAACCGAGAAAGTTGGTAGCCAATATATTTGGTAGCCAACATGTTTGGTTGGTAGTGCCGTACCAATTGACCAATTTTGGTACGGTAATGGTACAAATTTTTTAATACCATGGTAATACCGTACCAACCAATTCCTTTATTATTATAATATGTATATATATAAGAAAAATCGTATATTTCAATTATTAATTGTGTTTAGTGTTTACATTTTAAGAACGTTATATAAGTTATTTGGACGTATTAGTCAATAGTTATTACCACATTAAAGCACATATTTGAAACGTTACTTTAACGTTACTTCAATAGAATATTTTTGTAAATTAAAAGAACTCCGTAACTAATTTTTTTTGTTAAACGTCAAAATTACTTTGTTTATTTGCTTATTTTAAAATATTTCAATAGAAAATTAAAAGAAGTTGGTATATACCATTACCAATTTGTACGAACCAAACTTATTGGTAGCCAAATATATTGGTACCAAGTATATTTGGTATGGTACCGGTATCAAAATTTTTGTACCAATTATAGTTGGTACGGTACACGGTTTAAGGAAAAACGAATTGGTACCGTACCAAATCCACCCCTATATTTTATTACTTTCTCTATAATAAATTCACAAAGTGAATATGTAATTTATTAAAATGCATTAAAAATGTGATACCTCATCAATGCATTCATATTTTGAAACTGTAATTTATTATAGAAAAAAGTTAAAAAAAAAATCATTTTCTTTGACATTTTTTATCTCATTTCGCAGGAATTGGTATTCAAAGCGAAAAAGGATTACAAAAAAACTAGTGAATGATAAAATGAAGTTTGGAAAGTTAATTGAGTTTTCAACAACAAAATTCACAGAAAGCGATGAGTTGAAAGATATGAAGAAAGTCTTTGAACAAGAATTCATTTATAAAACTCAAAATGAAGATGATGCAAAAGGTGACAGGGATGAAGATGAAAAAAAAGCGAAGAGAATTTGAATGAACATGAAATAAAGAATCAAACAATCATGGTAACACCAGGAAATTTGTACAATGATCCAATAGTGCATGAGATTGCTGATTCTATTCAATGTATTTTAAATTTTGATAATTATGATGATTTTGAAAATGTAAAAAGTTTTAGAGAACAAAAATAGATGATAAAAAAAAGAAAAAAAATACTAGAAAATCATCAATGCCTAGTTTTTCACTTGGACTTGGTCTTGGTCTAACACAAGAGTTTCAGGAAGGAGATGAAAGCAGTGAAGATGAACACATGAAGAAAGAAATAAAAGATGAAAAACTTGATGAATGAGAAAGTTATGATTCAGAAGAAACAGAATGTGACAATAATATCTTGGGAATTGAAGATGATGAAGACAAAAAAAGAGAAGTAGGAAAAAGATTAAAAAACCATCACTGAAGCTATCTTCTCCTTATAATAAAAAACAGGTCTGTGCATCAAAATTTGTAGATCCAGATGAAGTAAAAGTATCAGATAGAATTTTTTCCAGAATTGGTAATAGCAGGTAATAATTCATGTTATCTTTTATTTAAATACAATAGTATATAAAATACAAATACAAATTAATTTTCTATTAACTGCTTTTTTGTTTTATTTGATTACAAATTAAGTGAGAAGGTATTTCAGAATAAGAGATGGTATGTGCTTGGAAGAGGAATGATTGAAACAATGCAGGCAGGATTATGGGTACATGCACATGTCATTGATGCTTGGACTGATATTTTGAACTATGAAGAAAAGCTTAAATCAAATTCTACAATGAATCGGTATTTCTTTGATACATCAATTGTGGTAAGTTAATTAAAAAAATATATATCATGATAATGTTGATAATATAATAAATACAATTTTCAATAGTTCTGAATAAGTAATAAAATTCACCCAGTGAATCCCATTATAATTCACAGTGTGAATAATTTTAAATTTAAAATTTAACTTATTGTGAATTTAACAATTTACTCTTTAAAGATTGATGTATATTTAAATTTTTTTGCAATGACAGTTCATATTTGACAAAAATATCCCTTTCAATCAAAGATTTGATAAATTTGAGTCAAATATCAAAGATGCAATGAAAAAGGACAAAGAACTTCTGACATTTGAAAAAGTTCACTTGGTAATAAACTGTTCTTTTTGTTGAATATATTACATATTTTTAACAAAGTTTAACAATTTAAATTATTAAACAGGTGTTTTTACCAGTTCATCAAAAAAATCACTTTTACATCATCTGCATAAACTTAGAGGAACCAGCGGTTGATGTCATTGACAATAGGAATTCAGTTGTAGAGTTTTCTAGAGCTTATCGTGATGCACCTAATGAATTGGTAAGAATATTAAATTTACATTATAAATATAAGTATTAATAGACTGATAATCTAAATAAAATAATAACTATAGAAAATGACAATTTCTTTTTTGCAGAAAATACTTTTTAGTAGGTACTTGATGAGGGCCAATCACAAATCAGCTTTAACTTTGGAGGGTGTTGAACCAGAAAGGGTGAACATGAATTGGCACACGAGGGATAATCATGTTGACTGTGGAGTTTTTTTCATGCGTCATATGGAGACATATATGGGAGATAAAACAGTAAATTGGACATGTGGATTGCCAAAAGAATCAAAACAACAACAAAGTGTGTTTAACGATTTACGCATTAAGTATTTGACAAAGATACTATTGAGTGACGCAAACACACACAGGTCAAAAATCATTGCACAAACAGCTAAGTTTGCAAAAAAGACTAATGAAGAAATAAAAGATTTGCTCGACAAGGGATGGGAAAAAAGGGGAGAAAGGATATAGTACTTCAAGGATTGGAAAAAGAAGTGTAAAACTTAAAACTTAGTTTTCTATTCATTATTAGTATAAGTTTAGATGCACTTTAATTTCTTTAAGAACATATACATGCTTGTTATGTTACAATTTGATGTTAGTTTCTATATCAAATATAACGAACTTTACTAAATACTTAAAAGATGTTTATATTTTCATGTGAATGTCTACATGTATGTTATACAATTACATGCTTTATTAAAAATATGATATTGGTGTGTGGGTGGGGGGGAAGTGATTATATTTCTACTCTGAATAAAGAATTGAAAGTGCATTGTCATTTCATACATTTACTTCATTTTTTTTGGTCTAAATGATTAAATGTTAATGTAATAACAATACAATATATGTAGAAAATTTACATTGTTTATATGTTAACCTTGTGAAAATTTTATATGTAAGATTAACTATGTGAATTACAGTACATATTATAACATGTATATTTTATATGTGAGGTTCACAATGTGAATTATGGTACATATAGATCATTAAAACAATTAATAGTTGAGATTCACAATGTGAATTAAATTACATTAAGACAATCTTTAACATGAAAATTTTATATATGAGATTATCAATGATAATTAATATACATAAATTAAATCATTAGCATGAAATTTTTATTAGAAAATATTCAAAAAACTAACAATAAAAAAAATATCTTTAACCAAAAAACAATAAATTTGAAAAAAATATATTCTATTATTAGAAATAAACTCTAAAATAATGAATATCAAAATTAACATCAATATTTCAACATTTCTATCCATTGAATGATCATGACAAAAATCAAAATCTTATTTTAGTCGTCTTAAAAAGAAAAAATTAGAAACAATCAGCCTTCTGTAACCTCAGATTCTAAATCAGACTTCTTAAACCTCAAAATGCAACTCCTAGCATTGTGATTTGGTTTATAACATAAACTGCACAACCTAGTACCCTTTTTAGATTTCTCAATCACTTTCTCTCTAGTGCTCTTGATTCTTTTACCACTGGCCCATCCCTTGTTTCTGATCCCCTCTGGATTATGAATGTTGATAACATCAGGTACTGCAGCTCCAATAATTTTTTCAATGTGAACTGATCTACTCGAAGATGCCCTTGATGAGGTACATAAAGGAATACCACTATCAACCTCCTGAAGTTACTTTATATATTTAGCCAACTCATCCTCATTATTTGCTATCTTGTTAATGGACAAACGAAGAATAGCATATGCATCTTGAATCAAACATTCATTTTTACTGCCTTTATGAGGATATGAGTTGTAAGGTCCTAAAACGGATCTTACCAGTGATCAAACAGCAAACACAATCAGTTAACAATAAAGAACAAGTAGAAACAAGAATGATAACAAGCTTGCACACGCTTTCTATTAGAATAACGTATGGTACAACTTGTGGTAATAACAACCGTGAACTCTGTGGCATCAACAACTAATAAATGACCTAGCATACCTCTATATATACTGGACCTGGGCCGGCCTTGGGTTTACGGCCGTAAACAGGTTTACGGCCGTAAACTCATTGTCGGGCCGTAAACAACTCACAAACTACCAAAAGCTATAAATTGACTCAAAAGAACCTATTACATAGAAAGCCTAGACCAAACCACTAATTGGACCCTTCAATCTCCCCATTGGTTTGGTACTAGCTTGAAGTCAATCTTTGTCCACGATCATCACATCGTCCAGCCCCATCGCTCCATTCCACATCCGCTTATTTATAATCTCAGCAACCATAGTGGTGTATTCTTTCGCGACAGAATCAAATATCTCCTCAGCAACCTGGATCTGAAAATGACTCAAATGATGAATGTCCCATTTTCTAAACTAGAGCAAATCCCTTCTATCATACAAACGAATGCAATCTTCCTTAAGTTTGATGACAGCAGATGCTGTGGTTTCATCAAATACCCAGTAGAGCATAGAGCTTAAGGATCCATCCGAGTAACCTTGAAGCACGGGAATCTGTTTGACCTGATTTGTAGCAGGCCACATCACCACCTGGAGGGGATTACCAGTTTTGGGATCAATAACATCAGGATATTGCTTTATCACAGATTCAGCAGTCTTCATAGATGGAAAACCCTTCTTTACTTGATCTTCCAGAAAGTGTTTGAAGTTAGTTGCTTGCTGATTATCTGTCGGATTTGAGAATGGAGATTGAGACAGCTCTGAAAGATCCACCCTGGTCCAAGAGTTAAAATCATGACAATCCTTGTAGAGCTCCGTCTTGCCACTCTTTCTGCGAACAATCCACATTTTCTGGGGATCATGGAAACCCCATGATACGATTCCGGACCTATCACCATACGTGTCTCTAAACCTTACGGTTTCGAGATCAGTAACAGTGATTGTGGATTGATTTCCTGGTGCATTCTTGTCGGAACTCCTTTTGAACAGGAGTTGTCCCTTCTCGGCGGCTTTGTCTTGTTTATCTCGAATAATCTGTGCAACATGTGGGGCATGAGCAGGTTCTTCTTCAAAACGATTCACCACTCGAGAAGTCTGAGCAGTTGGCATGGCAATAGGATGAGCCTGAGAGTGAAGATCAATTCTATGCTCATCTGCGGATGTCTTATACTTATCACCAAATTGTTCTTCAAGCTTTTTCTTGAGATCAAAGTAGCTGGAGGTCAAAAGATTGAAATGATCTTAGAGCTCAGAGATTTGCCTGGACTTGATTGCTTTATCTTCTTGGAGATCAGAAACTTGAAACTTTAAATTTGTATTCTCATTCAAGAGATCTTCAACACGAATATTTAACTCAATAATTTTCTGATCCTGCACATTCACTCTTTTCTGAAGTTCATCTATCACGGAGTCATCTTCTCTTGACTGACCTTCTCGAAAAGCAATTCCTTTGCCCTTAGAGGAAGGTGCGTCAGCTTGTTCCTGAGCAAGATGCAAGGCCAAACGCACAGAGGCTGCATCGTGAGCAGGTCTTGGAGGAGAGAATCCTGGTGGAATAGAGGAGCCACCGACTTCAAAAAATATGCTAGGGCCTTCACGTAAAGGTTCCGTAGTTACAATTGCAGGAGTGGTAGTTGGAGTAAATGTCAAGTCCTGAGACAAGATAGAATCCAGATGTCCGATTCTAGGATCTCGTCGTCTTCTTTTGGACGGAGGCTGCGAAGTCTGGTCTGTTGAGAAATCACCCTGAAGTGGTTCAGATGTAGGTGAGACAACATCACGGGGAGGAATCCCTGATACTGTCACCATTGGAGTGGAAGAGACAACCATTTGTTCTGTAGTAATGGGGGTTGATTCGAGAGCGTCTTCTGTATCCCTACTCTCCGTTGATGTGTGAGTAACATCACTGAGATTATCTAGCAGCGAGTTGAGGTTGATGTTTGACAGAAAATCATCATTAGATCCAAAATTAGTTGGAATCTCATCTGTATCGAAGCCTGTGAGATCAAGGTCTTCATATTGAGTAGGCTCAACAGTATTCTTGGAAGACCCTTCATTGTAATCTCCTTCAACTTGAACTGTTTGTAGGTGATGCTCCTCGGCTACTGACATAGCAAGAGCAACAGTCTCTTCTCCTTCTTGATCTGACACGATGATCACATCTTCTTCTGAGATCACCTTCTCCGACGAAGTGTGCTCCGAAGATATCTTATCTGAGGATCCGTGTGACTCTGTTGCTTCATTTGGTTCAGCAAATCGTCCGAACTTAACCACAGGATACAACCCTTGAAAGATCACCTTCCCCCTGCGATTTTTGTTTAATGAGCCCAACGGTGTGAGGGCCCAATGATTTCATATCGAGTGTTTCTCCATCCTTTACCAAGTTGGGAAATTGCTTATTGATGAAGAGCTGAACGAACCGAGGGTACATTAGGAAGGTATCCCGAGTAGTGGCATTAATGTTGACCACAAATTCGTCCAGAATAAACCTAGAGAAGTTAAAGTCGATCCCCGCAGCGAGAGAAACAATAGCGCCAGTGTTTCTCAGGGATATCTCATCAGCACCGGACCTTCTGCCGGAGATGCAGCTCACGAACACGTGGGCTAGAAGTCTCCAATAGGGCGGCATAAGTTTCTTCATTGTTGGTGGAGAATCACCCTCGTATCCCATCTTCCTTAGAATCCTTTGAGCATCACCAATACCAATTTCCGTGGGAAAGGTTGGAAGGTCGTTGATCAGCAGAGTCTCTCTCACAAAGGTCTCATCAATAACAATTTTGCATCCCTGAACGATTGCATCCACAGTGACAGCTCCATTATCATCCCTTGTCATTTTGGCAGTCTGCCAGAACTCACGAATCATTTTCTGATAGACAGCAGTGTTCATTGTAATGGCAGAGGCCAAGCAGCATTCTCGCAATCCGTGAATCATTGATTTAAATTCCTGATGAGCCGTCGGAGGGTCAGCAAGAACCATCGCCAGGTTGTGCATATCTGCAAATTTTAAAGCTGCCATTTTATCTGCACTAAAACATACCAAGTAAGACAAGAGAGAAAAATGAGCAATTAAAATTTTAAATGATTTAATTTTTTGACCCCAAAATGAATTAATAATTTGTTAAAAAAAATTAGGTCGAAGTCAGAGTTTGCGGTCAACGAGGGTTTACGGTCAACGAGGGTTTACGGCCGTAAACCCTTGACCGTATGCTAATGGCAGCAAAGGGAGTTTACGGCCGCAAA